GAATTTTAGTCATCGCATAATATTGCTGTTGTGTGTACAATGTTCTCCTGGTTCTGCTCACTTCACTCAGCATCAGTCCATACAAGCCTTTCCAGGTTTTTCTGAAGTCTGTCTGCTCATCATTTCTTATAGCACAATAGTATTCCATTATATTCATATACCACAACTTGCTCAGCCATTCCCCAATTGATGGACATCCCCTCAATTTCCAATTCTTGGCCACCATAAAAAGAACTGCTATAAATATTTTTGTACATGTGGGTCCTTTTCCCATTTTTATGATCTCTTTGGGACACAGCCCTAGAGGTGATATTGCTGGGTCAAAAGGAAATTTTTTTTAAATCTGCTTTGCTGCTACAACCTAAGGACCATGGGGCTTTTCCACCTAACTTGCAGCTAAAATTTTCCATATCTGTTGTCTTCCCCATTAAAATGTGAACTCATTGAGACCAAGGACTGTTTTATTTTTACATTTGTGTCCTCTACACTTTGCATGTAGTAAATATTAAATGATACTTCATTCATTCATTCATCCACCCATCTATCTATCTATTCATTTATTCCTCTCTTTATCAAGAAAAATCCATAACTAAGTTTCCACCAAAATGCAGCAAAATCTGATGCTTGGGTGCTAACAGACTTGAACACAGACAGGTCATAAGTATAGGCCTTCAACTGTTTGCAACCAGTAGAAGTGATTATAAAGTTCAGAATTTCCAAGGAGTTTAACATTCACTTTTAAGGCTTTCTTAGCAATCAGTCAGAATGCTGAAAGTGACAGGAGATAACTGTGCGGAAGGGGTGAAGATCATGTTTTAATTTCCCACTAGTTCTCTTATAGCTATCTTAAATTATAGGCTCAAATAGACAGAGATCTAGAAGGGATGATAGATAAATGTCAATAAGTTTTAACTCCACACTTTACAAGTGAAGAAAGTGAGAGAGAATTTTAAGTGACTTGTCCAGAGTCACAAAGATAAGTGTCTGAGGCAGGATTTGAACCCATATCTTCTACTTAGTACTCAATTGACACACCACACTGTCTTACTATCTCAGATTTGTGCTGCAACCAACTGACTGCTTCCCCTTTTGTCTTCTCCTGGCCCCATGCTTCTTCAACCAAAATAATTCTGAGGCCTCCACCCACATAGATGGACCTTGGAGAGGCTCCATCTGCTCTTTAATGAGTGGTCAGAGTCCACAGATAATTATCAGGATTCTCTTGATGTGCACCATGATTTTAAGCAAAAACATGAGATCAACATCAATCTCCTGCAACCTTGGAGTTGGGAATGGGCATGGTGTGTTTGAAGAACAGTTAGGAAACTGATCTTACTGGAGGTGAGGGGGTTTGATTAATTTCAACAAACATTTATTAAGTGCCCACTGTATACTTTAGGGAAGCTACAAAGTTTAACTAAGACACAGTTCCTGCTTTTATAGAAATTAGAGTCTAGAAGAGAGAGATGATGCCTTTGCAGATAACCATACTAAAAATAACACATAGAAAATCTTCAACAAAAGTGCTATATGAGCTGTAGGGAAAAGAAGGGACAATTGCCACTTGAGGGAATCATGGAGGAAGGAGAATTTATGTTTTTCTTTAAAGACTGGTTAGGATATAAAATAGATCATTTAGATCATATTAAATTAAAAAGCTTTTGTACAAACAAAACCAATGTAACCAAGATAAGAAAGAAAGCAGAAAGATAGGAAACCATCTCTACAGCAAGTCTCTGACAAAGGGCTCCTTTCTCAAATATATAGAGAACAGAGTCAAATTTATAAGAATACAGGCCATTCCCAATTGATAAATGGTCAAAGGATATGAACAGGCAAGTTTTCAGATGAAGAAATTAAAGATATCTGTGGTCACAGGAAGAAGTATTCTAAATCACTTTTTGATTAGAGAACTGCAAATTAAAACAACTCTGAGGTACTACCTCATAGCTATCAGATTGGTTAATGTGACAGAAAAGGAAAAGACTGGAGAAGATATGGGAAAATTGGGACACTAATGCATTGTTGGTGGAGTTGTGAATTGATCCAACCATTCTGGAGAGCAATTTGGAACTATACCCCAAGGGCAACCAAACTGTGCATACCCTTCCATCTAGCAATACCACTACTAGGCCTATATCCCAAAGAGATCATAAAAAAAGGGGAAAGGACCTACATATGCAAAAATATTTCTAGCAGTCTTTTTTGTGGTGGCAAAATATTGGAAACTGAGAAGATGTCCATCAATTGGGAAATAGCTGAACAAGCTGTGGTATATGAATGTAATGGACTACTATTATCCAATAAGAAATTATGAACAGGCAGATTTCAGAAAAACCTCGAAAGACTTGTATGAATTGTTGCAAAGTGAAACAAGCAGAACCAGGAAAACATTGTACACAGTGTAAGCAATATTGTGTGATAATCAACCATGAATCACTCAGCTCTTCTCAGCAACACAATGATCTAAGACAAATACAAAGGCTCAAGAAGGAAAATATTATCCATATCCAGATAAAGAATTGATAGACCCTGAATGCAGATTGAAGCACATTTTTTTATTTACTTTATTCTTTCTTGTGTTTTTTTCTTTTGATTTGTCTCTTTTTTCTCAACTGTGACTATTTTGGAAATATTTTTACATGATAGCACATGTATAAACTATATCAAACTGCTTACCACTTTTAGAAGAGGGGAGAGGAAGGAGGGAGAAAAATTTGAAACTCAAAATCTTGTAAAAACAAATGCTAAAAATTTTCTTGGCATGTAAAAGGGGGAAAAATAAAATACTGTTAAAAAAAAAATAAAGACTGGTTAGGGATTCAACAGGCAAAGAGAGGAAGAAAGGACTTTCCAGGCACAGGGTGAAATGTGAACACAGTCCCAGAGGTGGGAAATAGCATATTATGTTCAGCAGAAAGGGAGCAGTCACATTAAGATGGAATGTAGAGTATTTGGAGGGTTGTGATAAGAGATAAGTATGGAAAGAAAGAATGGTGTCAGGTTGAGGAAGTCCTTCAACATCATGCAAAGGAATATGAAGATTTTTTTAGATGTGGAGACATTCGTGCTGAAGGAAGATGGATGAGCAGTAGTGTGGAGGATGGATTGGATGGGAAAGGGTAGAGAGGAGTAATTGCTGGGGAACAGTGAAATAAAATTGTAGATGGGAGGGAGAGGACAAGTTCTAGCCTATAAGGTCCTTGCTTGATAGCGGGGATTGTTGTGTCATTCATCTGTATAACCTCATCATTCCCTAGCACAGTGTGTTATACATGGGGAGTACCCAGGAAATGTATTAAATAGATGAATGAATGATTGTATAAATGAATGAATGAAATATCCTTTCCGATTTCAATTTTATCAATCCAATTGACAGATGGAAACTGAAGAAAGGGAATAGTACTTAACATATCTAGTGCATTAATTTTGCCTAATCAAAGGATAGAAAAGTACTGCAATTGAAGCTCTTTGGTTAATGCCTAAATTGGAGTTTCACTATTTTAGCCTCAGGATTTCACCAATTTTTAATGCCCCCTTGTCCCCAACCCAATATAGTCACCAGGAAATTTCCTTCAAGCAAAAACACTGAAATATTTTTTCATCTACCACCACTCTACCACCATAGTCTACTATTAGTTAGGAGAAGAGTAAGCCAGCCAGCCAAAGAGCTTAGAAACAATCTTTATAGTGATGATGATCTCACAATATTCCCATTTTCAACTCAATGACTTGAAAGAATTCAAGAGCTTGTTGTGACCTCATGTTTATCTTTAATCAGTATCTCCCAAGAAGAAGGTTTTTGTCTAAAGGTCATGATATACATCAGACAAGCCAACTCAACATTTGTGGACTTTGAGCCTAACCCCCAAAGAGTAGCTGGAATCTTTCCGAGGTCCAACTGTGTGGGTGGCAGCCCCAGAATTCTTTGCATCTTTACAAAAGAGTGAAGTTAACCCTTCAGAGGATGGGAAAAACACGTTGATTCTTTAATGCTGAAGTTGAATAGATTTTAGATTATCTGTTATTTGAATTATTAGAATTACTGCTCCTTTTCAATATTGTGGAAAAACAATGGTGGTTTTTAATATTTAAATTTAATTTTTTTAATTTAAATTTAAGTTATTTAAATTTAATTTTTAAATTTGTGCTTTTGGCTGGTTGGAGGAAAACAATTTTTTTCTGCCTAAATCTAACACGTATTAGCATCTGTTGATTAGCATAATCAACAGGAACAGGAATGTTGTAATTAAGGACATGGCAACAAGATAATAGGATTTAGGGCTAGTAGGGACCTTGGGAGTCATATCTTCTAAGCCCCTTATTTTGTAGATAGGAAACAAAAACTCAGGTTGAGTGATTTGCCCAAGGTCACCCATCAAGAAAAGATAGAATTCAAACCCAGATCCTTTGACTCCAAATTGAGTGCTTTCACTACTAAGCCACAGAAAAGAAAATTCAGCTAGCACAGTTTTTTCCCTAAACATTCCTGATCTTGTTTCATGCCTACATCTTTCTTTTTTCTTTTTTTTAATGCTATAAGTGATTAATAACTGATGTCATCAGTTGGAGGCAAGATGGTAAAGAGAAAAGAGCATTGGCTATGGAGGAAGATAACCTATCACCTGGATGACCATGGGCAAGTCACTTCCTGTCCCTTGTGTGTTAGGTTTCTCAGCAGTTCAATGATGGAGAGTGGACTAGACCATTTCTGAGATCCCTTTTGCTACATTCACCTAGATTCTTCAAGGCAAGTAGGTTAAGGAGCGGGCTACTATCCCAAATGCTCTCCACTGTATTATGGCATCCCAAAGAATTGTGAGCAGATGTACTATGTGCTAAGCAGAGAGAGTGTGTCAGGGAGAAGCCTCTTCCCTTTTGCACATCCTCTATGCAAGAGATCTACAACCACACAGCATTGTTGTACAGAAAGAAGGGGCACATAAACATACAAATGTGTGAGCCCAATGCCATAAAAAGGAAAATTCAGGTCAATTCCATTGAATTCAATGCCCGAAATATTTATTAAGCCCCTACTGTATGTAAGGTTACTATGTTGGGGAGAAACACATTTTAGATACATAAAAAAAAATCCCACTGTCCCTGCTCTCATGGAGCTTACAGTCTCGTAGTCAACAGTAATAGAGAATGTAGAATGAAATATTGAAATCCAGGCGTAACATAAATGTTCACAACATTTTAAATATGAGTGTCCCAAAAATTTTAGTGCAATTTAAAGCATTAATAGCTTTAAAATGCACACTTTTGGAACACCACACACTATGTTTCCTTGTCACTCATTTCTTGGAATAAAAGTAGCTGCTTATGTTTATAAAGCTCTCTAAGACTTTGTGACTTGTGTTTTTGGCTAAATGGGTCTTACATTTCTGTTACTTCTGATTACTGGTATTTAGTTTCATTGAACTTGTATCCCAGCTCGTTGTCCACTCTCTTGAAGTCAGGAATTATGTCTTGTCCTTCTTCTACAACTGTACCTAATGTTTTGTGAAATGCCCATCCTATAGTATGAGTGCCAACTATATCCTTACATGTGAGATGCCTTTGGTTTTGGTTAAGGACTAAGTAATGGCACAGGGCATTTGGTCATAGATATGAAATTTTTTTAATTGAAATGGCACAGAGATAAATTATCACATGTACAAAGTTGTTTGTGATGGTTCCAATCCTGGAGATCAATACTGAGAAAGTGAAGTATGTGTGGCATAACAAATCCGCTCTCCCATTGATAAAACAACATGTCTCTGTTCAGATAAAAATCCTTTAAAGTGTTGGCCATGTTTGTAACATCCTTTTAAATGTCTCCAACCTATGGCAAAAATGAAAAAAAGAGCTATAATTCTTTAAATACAAGAGTAATTAGATATTAGATATAATAAATATGAACAGACTTAAATTATTACCTGTAAATTTTTTAAACCACTACAATATATGGATGACAAATAATTACCAAAATTTGCCTTAAGAAATGGTCACTTGAGCAACAGATTGAACTTCAGTGTATAGCCATAGTTTACATATATACATACATGTGTGTATATGTCTATATAGACACACACATACATATAGCTCCTATATACTATACATACATATATTTTATATACACATACGCACATAAATATATACATATATGTTATACATATATGTTATATATATATGCAAGAAAACAACACTTAATTTTTAAAATCAGCAAGCATAAAACATTCCATCATGAAGTTGTTTGTCTAACAAAGCCAAAAGGTAGGTAGTGAATTTCATCCCAGGCTCAATACATGAAGTAGAATAATAATCAACAAGCATAGGAAGTGAAAGATGAAACGAATATTGAAAAGGAAATTTGTGTGCCTTATGGAATGAGTAGGACAATGTTTAAAAAATACATATAGTGCTCAATCATTTCTTAATAGTTTATTTTAACATGTGATCTGAGCCCACCTGTTTGGATCCTCCCAAGTGATGTTGCTGGCCATCTATTGAAAGTCTGTTGAATGGAATAATCTTCATGGTAGTTTTCTTCATAGAGTACCACCTTGACTTCCAGGTAGCCCAGATAATGCCATTATCATAGCCACGGGGAGTTGATGATTTTGAGTAAGTGCCCCCTAAAACATAAATTATACAAATATATCTCATTAGTCTGAAACTCCTTGAAACAGAAGTATGAATGTGCTATTTTCTACCATTTATGAATAATATATAATATCCTCCACTAAAGTCTTGCCTTATTGTGGCATGAAGGTGATCCTGGGCTCTAGAGGGACCCTAAGTGCTAGGGAATTTTTTCCAAGGCTTCTAGCATAGGCCTGGGAATGGGCCATCTGTTACCTGGGAACAAGCTTAGCTAAACACAGAGAGGGTCTTCATGAAAATGCTGGCCACCAGACAATAACACGTGGCCACAACAGTTCATGAAATCATTCTCTAAGAGACTGTTCTTGGTACCAGTGTCGCCATGATTTTGACACTCTAAAACAAATGCTTCTGTACAACATGTAAGATGTTTGAAAATCTTCTTAAAGCCCCTCTTTTTTGAAAATAATTTTTAGATGGCCATGTTATTATGTTGCTAATGTATCTGATTTCATTAGTGTGGGAGACTCCTAGTGTGAAAATTCCCATCCACCAATACAGATTACACCTGCACTTGGGGTTGGTCAGTCTTGGGAAGCTGCCTGAAGCACATTGATGTTCTATGAGCCCCAGGCTCAGCTGAAGACTCAGGCAGACCTCGGTTTAAGTCTTTTCAGTATGCCAGGGAACTCCATCATCCTAAAAGTTCTGGAACATTTGATGATCTTGCACCATCTTGATGGAGTTCCCTGCACCATTAAAATTATAAGGCCAAAACCTAGTAGTGATAGTTCCAGTAACAATATGAAATCATATTTTAGTAATAACTTTGAAATAACATAAATAATTACAATGATAATAGCTAGTATTTATAAAACTCTTTAAGGTTTTCAAATCACTTTAGAAGTATTGTCTCTTATTATCCTCACAGTACCCTGAGAGGGAGATGTTATCTTTATCCTCATTTTACAGATGACAAAACTGAGGCAGACAGAAGTTATGTGACTTGCCCAAGGTCACACAGCTATCTGAAGCCAGATTTTAATTCAGGTCTTACTGACACCAGGTTTAGCATTCTATCTAGTGTGCCACCTAGAAACAATCTTTGTGGTAATGATTTGATTACACAACATTCCCATTTTCAACTCAATGACCTGAAAGAGTTCAAGAGCTTAATGTGACCTCATGTTTATCTTTAATCAGTATCTCTTTGATACTGATTGATAACAACTGATAACAATAACATAAAATATAACATTATATGATATAATAATATAATAATATTAGATAGATTGATAGCTATAGACATTCTATATATATAGATATAGATTCTATTCTATATCTATCTATCTATATATATATAGATAGATATAGACTTCCACTGGTAAAGGACCTACATCTGAATCCTGCTTTCACTATTTACTACTTGTATAATTTTGAGGAAGCCACTTCATTTCTCTGGGCCTCAGTTTCCTCCTCGATAAGTTGAACCAGCTAGACTAGATGATTTCTAAAGTTTCTGTCAACTCTAATCCTTTGGTCTTATAATGCTTTACAGTTTCCATAGCACCCTACACATAGAAGTTCCCCTACCCCAGACCACTGGCCCCTATAGCCATTATCCAGAGGAGCAATTTCTTGAGGAGGCAAGCCCTGACAACTACCTCTGCAGAGGCTGTAACCCCTGCCTGCTTAGCACCCATTGCTATTGAAGACTCAGAAAAGAAAGTCTGCCAACCCCTAAAACCCCTGGCAACTTTCTAGTGGTTTAACATCAGCAACGGATAGGGTCTGATCAATGGAAATGACACTAAAGAAGATGCATTCCCATCTGTTTGGCCCATATCTCCCTGAGCTTTTCATCGGGCTTATAGCTGGAGCCTCTGATGTGTCAGAATGTAAGCTCTTTGGTAGCAGAGGATCTTTTCCTTTTTACTTTGCATCCCTACTTAGTACAGGGGATTGAATTGGTCTAGACTCATTTCAATTCAACAATAATTTATAAATTACCTACTTTGTACATATAGCAAGCACCTAATACATGGTTTTCCATTCATTTTCATTTAGTCAGTCCCATATATATATTATCTACCTGGAATCTAGTGGTATTCCAAATTGCCCTTAACACGTCTAGTGGGCCTTCCTCACTGAACTTAGCAATTTTGAAATCAACATACTTGGGTCATTTTTCTAAAGAAAGGCTCAAATCCTCCCTCCCCTGTTCACTTAAATGGGGTAACTTGCCTATCTCCAACTGAGGCAACAATAGTGTACTCCAGGAAATGGCACTGGAGTGTTGCTAACAGCCCTCACTGTAAAGTAAACAACAAACCTCATGTGCTTCAAAAAAATATTTTTTAGTGCCTAGTACAAGGGTGAATCAGGAGTCACCAGCATGGTACACGGGAATGACCTTGCTTATGCAGCTTCCATGACAGAAGCAGAAGTCAATATCCCATGAAGCAAGGTCCCTGGTCTAACAGCCAACATGACAGTGAGTTTTTCAAGAGAAAGGAGTCAAGGATATTAGTTTGCTCAAAAGCAACATGTGGTAGTATTCAGGAGCAAATTTCCCTCCCTTCTGACATAACTTCAGGTGCACTATCAGTTAGAGTAATGCTCTGAAAGATTGAAGTCTATATTCTGATGGTTGAGAGGATGAATAGAACTGAAGGACCTTGAGGAAGGCAGCCTCAGGAAGCAGAAATATACACAAAGTTGGCTGTTAATATCCTTTTTGCTCTCCCACCTTCTGACCCAGGTACCCATTGCTCTCCCAACACCTTTTTACACACCAGATCCTCTGCTCTGTTGCCCACATTTCCAAATAGTACTTTCTGTTTCAGGTCTTTTGTGACCCCCTATCATCAAGAAAATGCATCCTTTAACCCATTCCCTCAGTAATTTGTTACAAACTACCATGCAGATGATAAGATAAACATATCTATCTATACACATATACATAGATATACACATATATGTATATACATCCATACATACATATACATATATATGTTTATGAGCACTCACAGATTATACTACTCAAGTGACATGTATATTTAATAAGGGAGGAGTTAACTTCTGGAAACAGTGTGGTAACTACAAAGAGTAGCTTTGATGGTGAAAATTGAATAGTCCATGACAAATCACTGGACTAATAATTTGCAACAGTTGGATACCTTGTGATATGGCCAAGTCTAAGTATTAGCTAGGCTTTATCCAACACTAACCTTGAAAAAAAAAAGGAACTAAAATAGTAAAAGCACTTATCCATCTCTTAACTATTTTTCAGTCTTTGCATAAATAGGATGATAGGGTCATAAGCTCAGTTGCAAAAGACTTATTTTATGCATGAGGAATCTGAGATCAAAGTTGTTAAGTGATTTGCTCAGTGTTTTTATAGCATCTTACTAGGGTCATAGACAGAGAGGAAGAGGCAAATTTTAATCTAGGCCTTCTGACCCCAAATCCACGATAGCACACTGACACTTATCGCCTTGCATGAAAACTGTATAATGAACCAGGAAACAAGAGATGACAATACCTTGGTAGTAAACACCATTGAGGTGGCCTGCATGACATTTGTTCATCCACCAGCCAGACCCATCCTGTTCAGCACAGTTGCCCTCAAACTTATCATTGTCATTATCCCAGGTACTGAACTGCATGCCAGCATGGGAGGTGAAAAACTTGTCACTTGGATCATCACCAAAATCAAAGCCGCCAAAGGCATCTCCTGCATCTCCTCCAAGGAAGTGGCTATAGGTCAGCCGGTACTTGTCAGATTCAGGCATCACCTTAAACATGGAGTAGTCAGCCGTGCTATGTAAAAGGGAATGGATCCATCAGTAACCTCTAACCCATAACTTTGTCCAAAAGCTTCATTTGTACATAGCATCATTTTCTGGAAATATCAGCATTATTCCTAGAGGTTGTCATGGTGTTTACACATGAAGTACTCATTTATACTTCAGTTTCTGGCTTAGAGATGGGCAACACTCATGCTAAGTCAGTATCTCATGGCAACCAGGAGACACTTTTCCCCTCAAAAAATACTATTCATCTAGATACATGATCTAGACTCAATTCAATTCAACAATAATTTATTAAGCACCTACTATGTACTGGGCTGTGTGTAACACTGATGCCAGAAGTCCAGATATTTTGAAGAGCTGAAAAATTAGTTGAATTTTTCACCAATGTCTTTGTTTGACATCATGTAGACTGAACCCTGGTGGACCATGGCTATTTTTCTAATTATTATTCTTGGTTTCCAAGCTTAAAAAACTTAAGATAATATAAGTTAGCATTGTTAGTCCTTGACAATGTTAAATTATTTTCCTAGAAATGTGAACTTTAGAAGTCAGAAAAGGTACTGTCTTTGCCATATGCAAGAGTATAATGACATTGCTCTCAATTGGCATACTAGTTCTGCTGGGAGTTGAAGGCCAGGCACACCGTGGGGACATTGGGAAAAGTACAGATAATCATGCCTGCAACAATGCATGGAATTTCCAGGTTAGGGAAAGGAATTCTCTTCCAGGAGGAAATGTGAGGAAGGGACGGAATTGGATAATGTGGAGGAAAATAGGCATTTCACATTGAAGCTGCTCAAATAGACTATATAAAATATTCAGTTTCTTCATTGGTCTGCAATGTTTAAAGAATGGGAATTTGTGAGAGGAAAATCTCTACTACGGTAATATTTCTGCTAGCAGAAACTCACCAGTTTGACACAGAATTGATTTCTTCATTCTACTGAAATATTAATATTGCTCTTCTTAGAAATATTTAAAATGGTTTAAGTAGTGAATTCAGTGCAAAAGATTGTATGTTTCCATGACATGAACTGATCAAAGCAATTACTGCTCCTTTATAGGAATTAGGAAAGTACAAAGATGCAAGATGTCCCTCATCTTGCACTTCATTGGTGTGATTTTGTGGAAACCAGGGCGCTAAACTTTTAAGCAATTGAATTGGTTAAGAATTGGCTTAGATCCCTAAGCTCTTTAGCTGGAAGCAGTCCTTTATCCATGAAATAGCCCAAGAAGCAAATAAATTACTATGAGGAGGGTTGAGTGCCACTTTGCTTTTACCTGGATGGTTTACCATGTAACTCTATGGCAAACTGACAAAGACCAATTCCAAGGAGTCTTTTGTCTTAAGATGCCCCTCCAAACTGTACCTGGTTTTGCCACTCCAGTCTTCCAATTCTATTCTTAATACATATGGAATTGTAGTCTGGGAGCTTAGAAGGTGAATCTTTTCATTTCCCAGCCAAAATTCTGTGTTGCCAGTTGGAGACAAATGTCCAAATCCTTCCTTATATTGAATCCAGTTTTTCTTGAAATCCAGGCTCCCATCCAATCTCTAATAGAATATTTGCAAAGGCGAAAGCAGATAATTGGTGACCAACAAATTAATACCGTCACAGTTTTGGGATTTTTGTGTGTGTGTGTGTGTTTTTTTGTTTGTTTGTTTAGGCAATGGGGTTAAGTGACTTGCCCAGGGTCACACAGCTAGTAAGTGTTATGTGTCTGAGGCCAGATTTGAACTCAGGTCCTCTTGAATCCAGGGCTGGTGCTCTATCCACTTTACCACCGAGCTGCCCCGCCACAGTTTGGTTTTAAAATATTGGTAAATGGTAAATTATTTAGATGCCATAAGTAAGGACTCAGATTGTGGATTTTGTTTTTATCAAAGGGAATCATTCTGTGCTCTGTCTAAAACATCTAACAACCAAAGGCTCCAGCTCCCATTTCTTTGATAAAATAGTTGAAGCAGGAAGTACAATACAGGATTTGTGGGTAGAAAGAATCTTAATGAATGTCTAGTCCAGAGCTGTAACTGTTCGTGTCAGGGTCCAGGACAAGCATTATGGAATTCATCAAGGGCAAATAGAATGAAAATTGGCCCTCGGGTCAATTTTGTAATGCATATTGTGAAAATAATATAAGAAAAATTCAGTTGTTGGAAGGGCTAATTACTATATAAACTTCTATGCTGCAAAATGACTGCTTATGTTAACTTCTTTTGTACCCTTTAAATTTCATTCCCCAAAGCAATGTTCTAGCTCTGATCTTAATTTTACAACTTAGGAAACTGAGACCAAAAGAGGTGAAGTGACTTGACCAAGGCCAAGAAGATAGTAAATAGCAGACTTAGAATTTGAATACAGGTCAACTGACTCTAAATGCCACTACATTTGATTGGTAAAAATAGTTGATGGTATTGGCACCTGAGTGTCATTACTGAACTCTCTGGAAGACTGTACCTTCTTGTAGCAGCCTGAACCTTTCTAAGTTATTTCTCTAGTTTTGTTTTAAGATGGCATGATATTAAGAGGAATGTCAAGATTAGAGGTTAAAGTTGACTTCAAAGAAAGCAAAAATAGTGATGATGATGATGAAGAAGAGGAGAAGAGGAAGAAGAAGAAAAAGAGGAGGAGGAGGAGGAAGCAAAAGAAAAGGAAGAGGAGGAAGAAGAAGAAGAAGAAGAAGAAGAAGAAGAAGAAGAAGAAAAGGAGGAGGAGGAGAGGAGAAAGGATAAAGGGGAAGCATAAAAAATACCAGGAGGGGGAGAGAAAGGAGAAGAAGAACAATAACATACCTTCTGAAGTACGGTCCATCCATTGCCTGCTGAATCTATTTCACAGTAGACCAAGAACTGTGTCTTAGCTTGGAATGGCTTGACAAAGTAAAGGCCACTTACTGAGGCCCCTTTGTTTGCAATGTCTTGACAATCTGTTGGAAAAATCAGATTATGTCGGTCACTGCAGTTCCTCTTGTTTTATTCTGGGGCCACATTCTGGAAAGGACGTGGACAAGCTGGAGCTCATTCAGAAGATGACAATCAGCATGGGAAGGGAGTTTGACATTAGGCTGTTTGAGGATTTGCAAAAAGACCTGGGAATGTTTAATAGGGAAAGGAAGAGGTGGGGGGGCTAGGGCAGGATAGCTGGCTTCAAGTATTTGTAGTGCTATATTAAACTTGTTCTGCTTGAACTCAAAGAGCAGATATTAGGAGCAGTAGTGGAATTTGCAGAGAAGCAGATGTGAGAGAAAACCTCCTGATAATTAGGGACTTTCCAAACATAAAACAGGTTGCCTGTTGGTTCCCTCTCATTGAAGGTTTGTAAGCAAAGGCTGAATGGCTGATTGTCCATGTGGCTGTAGAGGAAATTCTCATCCCAGTATAGGTTAAACTAAATGGTCTTGAGATTCCTTTCAGTATTAGAATCCCACAACCATAGTTTGGAATGCCTTCAGTGTCTTAAGGCCAGGCTCACTTTTCCTCCAGATTGCACAGTGTTTTCATTCCCTGAAGGAAGATGTATGCACTATAATGTATGCACTATAATTCCTTTTGAACCTTGAACCACCTAAACAGTAAATCAGTCAGTCGGCTAGCACTACTAAGCATCTACTTTGTGCTGAGCGTTGGGGATACAAAGAAAGAGTTCACAGTCTAGAGGAGAAGACGGCATGCAAATAGCTATGTAAGCACAAGATACATACAGGATAAACTGGGGCGAGTCTCAGAGGGAAGGCACTAAGATTAAGGAGAACTAGGACAGGGTTCTTGCAGAAAATGGCACTTAGCTGCAACTTAAAGGAAGACAAGGAAGCTGATAGACAAAGACCAGAAGGGACAGCATTCCGGGTGGGGGGGGGGGGGAACAGCCAGTGACAAGGCTGAGAGTAGGGAGATGGCGTGTCTTGTGTGAGGAACAGCAAGGAGGCCAATGTTACTGGACTACCAAGGTTCAATTGGCTAGAGGCGAAACATTCACTCATGGAGTGATCTGTGATTGGCACTCTGCCTCCCCCTCCAGAGAGCTGATCCCAGAACTAATATCTCACTCACCCTTTCCAGTGGTTTCTTGTATTTGAACTGAATCTTTACAAGGCTCCTGACATTTCGCTTCAAGTTCAATTGCTTTTTGTTTCAACTGAAGAATCTTGTGGTTGTTTGAAACCAAGATATCTTGCAAATACCTACAAACAAAACCGAAACAAAGTGAAACAAAACAACAAGAAAAAAGATAATTCAGGCTTTGTTTGACCCTAATAATTGTCTCTTTCATAAATGTTACCTTGTTTTCCCAAAAATTACCCAAGACAGAATTGTTTGTTTTTCTCTTCTGGTAAAAATTGTAAAGTGACACAGTTGGGGTTGAGGGGAAGCACCCTAATCTACATGGGGGAAAATAAAGACATATAACAGATACCATTAAGACTAGAGTACCCTTTCTTTCTTTTTTTTAGGCAGTTGGAGTTAAGTGACTTATCCAGGGTCACATAGCTAGTAAGTGTCAAGTGTTTGGTCTGAGGCCGGATTTGAACTCAGGTCCTCCTGACTTCAGGGCCGGTGCTCTATCCACTGCACCATCTAGCTGCCCCTGGAGTACACTTTCAATCTCAATGTCTGCACCTAGATGGCAGGCATGTGGTATGAAGGAAAGAACTCTCTCTGCTCTGTGAGCAAAGACCCTTGGGGCTCATTTTGATTTTATTCCTTATGAGCAGGAATGGAAGGAACATAAGGGGCAGTGTGTGGGCATCAGCATAGGCAATAAATTAAGATGCCGAATACTATAACAGAAAGGATGCTGGGTTTGGAGTCAGAAGGCTGTGTTCAAATCCTGGCTCTTCTACTTAGTATCTGTGTGATCTTGGGCAAGTCAACAAACCCCTCAGGCTCTTCATCAGCAAAATGAGGACATTGGATTGGATGAGAACTAGGATCTCTGCCAGCCCTAGATCTATGACGGTCTTTTGGGCTTGAATAAAATGAGCACAGGCCAAGTAATTTGATATTAGCTCACATTTCTATCATACTTTTTAAGGTTTATAGAAAAATTTTTACAATCACTATATGGAAAAGGTAGCATGAATATTATCTCCATTTTACAGAATAGAAAACTGAGTCTTAGAGAGGGGACCTGACACCCGACATCATACAACTCTGAAGTATGCCATCCAGGACTTAACCTAAGTTTTCCAACTGCAATCCAGCATGGTTTCCATGGTGCTATGCCACCTCCCAAGAAAGTAGATCAGAAAATCAAGAACATTCATGTACCTACTAACTATTCCTATTCCTATTCATATCTACTGGAGCCCAACTTGAAGGGGCTCAGTTCTAATCATATGGAGACCATACACGTCTGGGACCTCATTCTCACAGGAGGATATGCTATTGACCCTTCTTGCAGAATGGGGCTGCAGATGTCCAGCACTTTGCTTTGGGACGTCTTCTAACATTCACTACTCTGTCACTAAGGACAGATGAACCCTAAAGATTTCTGGGTTTTTGTTATATTCCCTTGCCACTGCATCTTTAGGACCAATGATTCTTTCCATCAAATCTACAGCTGAAACTTCCTAGATATGTCATACCTCCCATTGGAATATCAACTTGTTAACCACAGGGAATGTCTTGCTTATCTCTTTATATTCTTTACACTTAGCATAGTGACTGACACATAGTAAGTAGTTAAGAAGTCCTTTTGCTTATTCTTTAATTCATGTACCATCTCATCTAAAGTGCTAGACTATTTTAAAAACAATACAGAAAAGCAATCAAAGTAAATTTCCTATGATCTAACACTCCCATGTTCTTGACCCTTTCAAGGGTTCAAAAATTTTAAAAAGGGGGCAGATAGGTGGCGCAGTGGATAGAGCACTGTCCCTGAAGTCAGAAGGACCTGAGTTCAAATCCGGCCTCAGACCAAACACTTGACACTTACTAGCTGTGTGACCCTGGACAAGTCACTTAACCCCAATTACCTAAAAAAAAAATATTTTTAAAGGCTGTAGTGCCACATTAAAAAAAATCATTTCAATATTTCATTAATTTGAACATGAGATATGACACCAGAAGAGAAAATTACATTTTGACAGTAGCAATGAAAGGGAAGTGAATACATCAAGGAAACCTCTCCTTTATGGACCATTAAAGGACCATAGAAACATAAGTCCAGAACTTGAAAGAATCTTAATGGTCATCTAGCTCAATGCCCTCCTTTTAGAGCTGAGAAATTTGAGGATCAGAGATGAAATAACTCTTCTAACACCACAAAATGGGTAAAATCACAGAGAAAGGATTTGAATTTGGATCTTATTGACTCCAAGTTCAGTATTCTTTCCACTGCTCATAGACTGATATGAACAAGGGAAAAAACAACACAGAACAAATTTCTATGACTTTGAAATTCTCCCCTATGGTACATTTGAAATATTCAGGCATATTACCAGTTTTAGTTTTTGAAAACAGAAAAAAATAGACAAAGAAAATATCCCTCCCCGAAGTAAGTAACATTGAATTTGGAATAGAGTAGCCTTTAAAAAACAACCCTACAAGGCAAAGTCCTTACTTAATACTGTTTTCATGTGTGATAACCATTGCTTCATATTTCATAATTTCATCAATCATCTTCCTTGACTTCTGAGTCACATCATTGATCACATCTGCAGAAAGGAATCAAAAAAGAAAACATTAATAAGGCAAAGGAAAAGGAGGTGGGAAGAATGACTACTTTCTCTTCCAGTTTTCCCATTTTGTGCTTGCTCTTACTTTGAGGTCTTGTGTCAGAATTCTGGCTGACTTGGATTTTCTGGATCAGCAGTTTGGATTCTGATGTCTTATTATCAATATCTTTTAAGGCATCTTCCATATGCCGTAGGTCCCGGTCTATGGTGTTTTGGTATTTGTTTAAGAAATCTGCAATCCCGCACGTAGTTGGGCAGTAGCTACCCTGAAACCACAAAAGAGCACGTTTCCAAATACCTACCTACCTAAGAGTTCTGACCGAAATCCCCTAGGATTCAAATGACAGTGACAAGCAAACCCCAGTCATCCCAAACCAGTAATTTCCTGTGCTATATGTCCTGGGTTTCTTACTATCTAGGCCCCCTCTCTGTCAAACACAAAACAAAAGACACACAACTACTTACAAATCGCTCATCTAAAATGCAGCAGTTGTCTCTGGTGGCAATATACTGTGGAAGGCAAACAACAGGAATTTCACTAGCTGGTCACCACATTTTTTTCCTTGTGATTCAGTTCCAAAAGTTGTATTAAAATATATATAATAATAATCATGTAGTCACACTTACTGCTTGGCATGTTGAAAAGATTAAGAGTAACGTGGAACAATACAGAGCTAACCTCCGTGGATGCCAGGACAACTGCATAGTGTCTGGAGTGCTCCGCCCTTCTATCCTCTGTCTGCAGAGCAAGCAACTGTTAAAACACCTCACTCTCTCCCTACCCTTTTATATGAACTCCAAGGATGATGCTGACCACAGTCTGTCAAGGCAGCCACTAAAAGGGCCAAGAGCCAATCAAGGGGCGGATTTACCAGAAGGGTGGGGAAATCTCTCTCTCTGTGCCCCTTTCCTGGGTCCCGGCCAATCCTCCCACAAATTCCCAGATTTTGCATACAAGTTCCTGCTCCTCCCACCTTGTCTCCACACCCCCACCTCTTGGTCAAAGCCAATCTTTTCTCTTTGAAGCAACAGTAATCTGAAAGCCTGGTCAAGCATTAGCTATTGCCGTATGGGGAAGACGAGAGACTGGGAAGCTGCATGAAGCAACCACTTCCCAGATATGACTGAGATAACAAACAATGTGGTGTGACCTAGAATGGAATGAACCCAGGCTGAATTTAGGAAGGTGTCCAGGGTCATTACATTGTTACCTACTTTTTTAATGTTCCCTTCTAAGCATTAGATTGGGATCAATAGATATTTGTGCCAGAGTGGGGGTTGTGGAATAATGCTGGGGTATGAAGAGGATACTTTCTTGCCACCCTTCACCACACACACACACACACACACACACACACACACACACGCATACTTTATATGCCAAGTTCATGATATTCAAGGCATCTTCTGGTCTTCCCAAGCTCTCTACTTTCTCAGCAGCAGAAGTGATAGATGGTCTTAGAGGGTGACCCTTACCCTTCTCTACCAAGCTGTATATAGTCATATGAGTTATAAGATCCCAATGCCATTAGTATTAATTCTTCCCTTTGGATTGAATCAATTAATAAACATTTATTAAGTGCCCACTGTGTGCCAGGTACCGTGCTTTGTATGAGCACAAAGAATGAAACAATGCCTACTTGAATTGAGCTTCCAGAGAGAGGATGAGGAGAGGAGATAAAAGTACCAGGTAGGGGTAGGGGTATGGTTTTAAAATCCAGAAAGTTAGGAGTAGATCCTGGAGGGGAATAAAAGCTGGGCAGCTTGAACCCCTTCACAAAATAAAGGTCCCCAGAGGAGCTCACCAATGGGGGAAGGAGGCAGATCTGGTGGAGGGATATTCCAGGGTGAGAAGACTGCATGGATAGTTAGATGTTCCAGAGTGAGGAGGCCTCAGGTGCTTAGGAAACTTCTAGGATTCTAGAGCAAGTGAGTCATGGTTTCAAAGTACTGAAAGTCAGGAGCAGAGCAGGAAGACCAATTAGGAGGCATTTGTGGTACTGTAGATGACAGGTGATTAGAGTATGAAGTAGTAACTTTAAGTTCAGTTAAGGAAGGGGATCTCTCTCTTACTCTTGGCTGGTTTCTCCAGGACACCAGGCCTCAGTAATAGAGCATCTGTACTCTTATCTAAGCCATGGCTGGGAAAACTCAGTCACCAAAACTCTGAACAAAAACATAGATTTGAAGAAAGAGGAAATAGAACCCTAAGGATATAGACACAGCAATACTTTCCCTTCATAGGGGGAAAGCAGATTCACCATCACCTGTTAGGATGATGTGGATAAATGTTATCATAGTGTGATGCAGTGGGTAGGGAATTAACCTCAAAATCAGAAAGATATGGATTCAAGTTTTGCCCTGGATATATGTTAACTATATGTCCAACTATTCCATTTTACAGATGAGGAAAATAAGGCTTAAATGACTTGTCCAAGATCACACAGCAAATCCAGCGCTTTGCACTACACCTTTACAATTGATCATATATATATATATATATATATATATATATGCATATATACATATACATACATATCTTGTACGTACATAGTTGTTCACATGCTTGTTGTTCCACTCCCCCCTTAGAATGTGTGGTCCTAAAGAGCAGGGCCCCTAATTTTTCTTTCCTTTACTTTCTTTTTTCATTTGTTAACACAGTGCCTGATGATAGTAGGCACTTAACAGCTGTGTGTTGACTGACCAACAGAAGGCCAAGCTACCAGACTGTAGACCAGAATTATCTTGCCAGAATGACTTCTGATTTAGACTAAGGGAAGGACCCAGTATCTTTCTAAGTACTAGCCTAGCTACATTGAGAGAAACTTATCATCAGAAGTTTGACCATGAATTTTGGGAGCTATGGCAACTCACACACATCATTAAGGCATATGTGGGTGCAGTGTCCATTAATTCCACACTGATAGAATCACAGATCTCTAAAGTATTGAAATGTATTAAAGCCCTATATAACTGTAAATATTCTCAATTCTCTTGTTCCATATTTCGTTTTTGTATAACCAAGAATTTCATAAATGTTGACAAATGTATTAATGGGAGAAATGCAACAGAAGATGCATTGAGTTCATAACTTGTATCGCTATAAATTCACCTGAATGTTTATTGAATACTTCTCCATAAATCACTGCAAAAGCAGTTTGTAGTGGAAAGAAAACTATCCTGGGAGTCAGAGGACTTGGGGTTCTAGCCCTCCTCTGACTTTTCTTACTTGCTTTGGGGTTTGGGCAAGTCATTTCATGACTTGAACCTTAATGTCTTCCTCTGCAAAAAAAAGGAAATTGGATTAGATGAGCACTAAGGTTTATGTAAGTTTTATAATTCCAAATGGGGCATGTCATAGGCAATCTACTAGAGTAGAAGATCCTTGAGGGCCAAGTGCATCTTATTTATCTTTGTATTTCCTACAAGAGCAGCTTCAGTGTACATAAGCATATAGAAAGTGCTTAAGAAATGGTCATTGAATGAATTAAATTTCCTTTAAGTTTCAGACTATTTCTTTTCCAGTGGTCCAAATGCAAAATGAGTGACATGAGTCAATGAGGTAGAACAGTGGATAAAGTATATGATTTGGAGTCAGAAAGATCTGAGTTCAAATCCTACCTCAGGTGCTTACTAGCTATGTTACCCTGAGCAAGTCCCTTAATCTCTAGTTTTCTCATCTATAAAGGTTTCTCATCTGTAAGTAGCATCTACCTCACAGGGTTGTTGCAAGGCACAAATTAAGTGCTATTTAATTTTTATTTTCTTTATATTTAGTTAAATTTTAAATGTAGTATTTAATTAAAATTTGTAAAGCACAGATTCTCTAGGCTCTAAAGCTGGAAGGGAAATTGGAGATCATCTGGTCCAATTCCTTCGTACTTCATTTAATTTACCCTTTGGTGATTGCTTTTTACAGGAGGAAAGATGAAAGCAATTAATGCAGGTAAAGTGATTTGTTCAGTCATAAATCATGTCCAAGTCCATGGCAAAGATTTATCAGAATTCAGGGTCTCACTTTAGTTTTTTATGCATCCCAGCAAGTTATTTTCCTACCTCCCTTGAATGAGTGCAATTCCAAAAAAACAAACAAACAAAAAAAAAAACATGACTTTAGCCTCTACTCTAGTTCCATTGAGAAACATAGTGACCTATTCTTATAATTTCTTGAAGGATGGCTAGCCTGTGGTTTACTGACAGTTGCGTGGCCTAATTTCAATCTAGTAACACTTAGATGAATTAATGTTTAACAAGTGACAATCCTGATGAGAAATTACAACTGATTAATGGAATTCTGGAAGCAAGATGATTTCTTAAATTGGGGTTACTCTATGTACAAGGTTATTCTTGAGAAAATGGAACAGATCAATATTGATTTAATACAAAAAAAAAGATGAATTTAGGCCAAAAGGCTATTTACTGACATCTTATTATTCGTGTTTCGGCTTGAAAACAACACAGTTTCCCTTGCCAAACTATATTGTAATTGCTGAAGGTGATCATTTGTTGTCACCCCACTCATACTAAACAAACCATCAATATAGTCTGGTTGAACGGGAAGGCTCGAGGAGGATCAGGGGGCAGCCTTATCTCCCCACTTTGCCAAGGGAGCAGGGTGTATCACTATCATCCTCCTGGGCTGGAAATGGAAGATTGAGTCTTTTAATTGAATCCCTGTAGGGAAAGGATTAGTTAATATATAAAAAATAGTTTCTAAGTTGGTGAAAGGAGAAAATAGGTTGAAATTGTTGCCTGATTCCAAAGTGAGAATTCTTAAATTCTGGTCTAGATTCCAAAGGGAAGTGATGAATCCTTAAAAGTAAAAGATTTTCCCACTTCTGTAGGATAGTAATATCATATTTTTGCCTACAGTAATCTTTTGAGGCTTCTTCTAACCTTGTGTTTCAATGACTTTAAAATAAACCTATCTTCTTTACCCAGATGAAAGGTGTCCTTAAGATAAAACCTTATCAACAACTACCATGCTTATAAGGCTGAGTACATAGGTGGTGATCACCAAACACAGAATTGTATTGGATTGGAATTCAATGGATTATCTCACTAGTTTTAAGTAAGGCACGTTGCCAAGGTAGTACAAGGAGGATGCTCTGATGGTATATCTATTTCAACAAGAAATGAAGGGGCATAAGTTGTTCCTGGTCAAGTACATGTTACTCTCCAAGACTAGATTTTCCTAAAAGAGGGAAAATATGATGCATTAGTATTGTCTTAATTGGAGAGTGATCATGTAATCAGACACCTAAGCCATTAGCTTGAATAGTCTATCAATAATGACTAAAGGAAAGTAGAAATGAAAATGTTTGGTGCAAGATTTACTTTCTGTTTCATTATGTTAATCAAGGAAGAGGGACCTAAAAAGAAAACAACAACAACAAACAAATGAACATAAAAACATGGAAGCCAATGTGCCAACCTCCCTGGAGCTTGCCAATCAAAATACCAGAAAATTAAAGTAAGGAGGAGAGATGAAGTTGCTGGCTCCCAGTCAACCAGGTTAGGCTTCATGATCTCCCAGGTGAGCTGGCCTCTACCCTGGCCAGGAGGTCATAGAAATGAGACTCAGAGAAGCAAGCACTAGAAAAATTGTCTAGTGGTTGGAGAAAGAATTACAATATGAATCTGCAGGTCACACAAATTCAGAAGCTAGGAGTAAATAGCCTAGTTGGCCTTGGGAAAAACTGTTTGGAACCAAAAATTCAGACACGTGATAAATTAAACCAAGCTGGATTCTGTGTCTAAGTTAAATACA